AAAGCAGAGATAGAAGCTGCTCTAACAGTCGGCTGCCCAGGCACTGGGGCCACAAAACCCCCAGGAGGCCAGAGAGTGGCTGGGGGACGAGAGGGCTGCATCCTCCCAGATACTCGTTTAGGGGGCAAATAGCCACCGACTCACCTCCAGGCTCACTTAGTCAGAGAGAGAATTACACATGGGTGACAGGGGAGGGGCCGCAAGACCCTCCTCCACAGGGAAACCAAGGCCTCTGCTCTCCACCAGAGCCCACCGCAGATCACTCATTTTGCAATTTAACTTGTGGTTGGAGGGGTGGGGACCATCAAGGTCATCTAAAGCCCTCGAGATCATTTGGCCTGGCCCTGCCAAAGGACCAGAGGTGGGAATCAAAATTCAGCAAATATAGAGCAGGCTACTGTTTAAGCTGATGATTGTTATAAACATCCAGATGTCCCTTGGCAGATAAAAGGTTCCCGACCCCTAGGGATATCCCGGTACAATGGGAGCACAGTCAACCCAGCAAAGTCCAGCTGCAGCCACATGTGCCGAGTACAAAGGTATGCAACTCCCAAATGTCGATCACAAATGCCAACCATGAGCGTCATAGCCACATCACCAGTCAATGTGCCTCATATTTTAGGGATAAAAGCTCCAGACCAGGAAGAAAGAGTGCCTCGTGCTCTCTACTTGGGATTACTTCAATAAACTCTTGCTCTACTACCCCTACTTCCCTGTATCTCATCTATAATTCATTACTCTGTTGGTGAAAAGGCATCGAGGCAAGCCAGCCACTGCCAGTGACAATGTTAACCCCAACTTAGAATTCAAGTTTATTCCATGGCAAAAAAAAAAAAGCATCCCTAGTCCACAGACAACCCCTGTGCCCTGTGGGGAGGCTAAAGCGATGCGTGGGCAAAAACAGGCTCTAGGTTTGGGCCTTCAGCAGAGACTTCACAACACTGGGCCCCTCCTCCTCTTTGACCACTAGCATTTGCTACTGAAAGCCAACATTTCCCACTACCAAGTTTCTTTTGTCCCATTTACACTAAAATAACTTCAAGGGTAGCATCTCAATCTAAAAGGTCTCTTTCCAGTGGGGCCAGATGGGCCAGTATCAGATAGCACAGGAGGATGGGCAAACCACTTGTTGCTTCAGGCAAGGGAACAGACCTGCAACACTTTTGGTTTTTGGTTTGAGGGGTTTTTAAAAAATGCATCTTGTGAAGATTTTGCAATTGAGTTGGCAATTACCAGATTTTTAAAGTCCTGGAAGAGACTTCTAAGCATCAGTGCTCTGTGTTAAGCTCTGAGTGTGCTGTAGACTACGCAGATGGGGAGTTAGGAGGCAAGGCCTGCGTTGCAAGGATGTGGTCCAGAATCCAGAGAAAATGGTTATGTGCTCTGACCTCCTAAAGCTTCCCTCCACCCGGCTCTGAAATCCGTGGCTCTTGGCTCTTAGAAACCAAAGATCCACTCATGTCATGGGTCATGCTCCTTTGTCAGAGAGGACAGGAGCCTCATCACCTCCCTAGGGAACCTGTGGGCTCTGTGACCTGGACCTTTGGCTGGCCAGGCCCAAAGCTGGCACAGTCTGGGTGATCCAAAACCCCATCCAGAGAGCTGGATTCTGGCCTGAGCGGGCAGCTTAGGGGGAGGCTGAGATTAGGCACTGCGCATATCCAGGAAGCAGGAGACAGAGGGCTGAAGCTCGCTGGTCCCGTCACTGCTGGCTGGCTCCGCAGGGCCTCTGCCTTCCCCGGGTTTCTCCCTGAAAGATCACTTCCCAAGTCCTCTCAAGAATAGGGAAGGCGGGCGGAGGCCCAGATGCTGCTTTAGCCTACCATGAAAACCTGATGAGCACCTCACAGCTGCACCCACTTAACACCTCCAATCTCCCCGAGTTAGGCAGGCACAACGCCCACCATGTAGATAGGAAGACTGAAGCTCACAAGAGGCTTAAGTGACAGTGCCTGTCCGGGATCATTCTCTCCATTCTGGCTCCAAACACTTCAGAGGCTCTCAAAATATACTGTCCTCCAGAACCTGTAGTATCTTGTTAAAAAATGCAGGTTCCTGCCTTGGTGTGTGCGTAGTGCAGCATGGGCCCAGACTCGGGGCAGCTGCCTGCACCTGCCGACAACAGCAGAGGCGTGTTTGCCTCTGCAGCCCTAGCTCAGTGATGGGCATCCAGTTGTGCTCACGATCTGTGGCTGAACAAGTGCTGTGCGGAGGCAAGAGGGCTGAGTGGTGGGCCGAGCTGGGGGGGGGGGCAGTCAGCACTGACAAACTCCTCCTAGCGCTTCAGCACACGGGCATTTTGACAGGACAAGAAGATCCCTCCCCATTTTTATTTCCAGATGCATTTTCCCCGTTAATCACTCCAGGCTCTTACTGAGTGAAATCCCCAGGGCACTCACGGAGCACCTGGGTGCAATCCTAATTAAAGGCAAGCCCACAGCCAGCCTACGGACCACCTCATTATCCTAACAAATTGCTTGATGGGGCAAAACGCACAACTTCTCTGACAGGGAGAAGCCATTTAGAAAGAGATTCCAGTTCATTCTCCAAACTCACCTGGACACTTGCCCTCTCTTACTATCCCTGCTGCTGGCCCCATATCTAACCTGGACGGGTCAAGTCCTGGCTCACGGAATCTGACTTAGGTTCCACCCGCCATGTCCCTACTTGCCCTTGTGTGAGCCTCGCCTTTCCTATCTGTAAAGTGGAGAGGATAATGTTAGTTGTGGTGACTTGTTCAAGGGTAGAGAGAATGCATGGCCTGTGGGTAACACTGCCAGGTCCTCTGCATGCGTTCAGAGCACCAGCCCCATCACCACCAGCTGATTCAAGACAAGGTGACTTTCCTAATCGGGAACACCTCCTTCCTCAACCAGTTCAAACCACACGCATGCTTCAGGGGTAGCTCTAGGCCATCGTCCTGCAAGAAGTCCATCCTGACCACTTCAGTCCTGCTCCCCCTCTTCTCACACCCTCCGCCGTGTTCTCTGTAGGATGCGCTCAGCACCTGGTGCGGGTTCAGGTCACCTGCACAGAGTTTAGCTCCTTTATGAGGGCGGGCTACGGCGCACATATCTACGTCCCCCACCAGGCCGCGCACAATCTGGGATTGCCCTCCTAGCTTATGAGCTGCCCAGCGTGGTCAGTTGGAATTTTAGCCTGCTCAAGATGCAGATCTAAAATAAATTAAAAAAAAAGACAGTGACAAAGACCGATCTACAAGCCCCCGTGTGTTCTCTGCTGGCCAGCCGCAGGACTCCCACCCCCACGCTGGGAAGCGCAAGGTACCTGGGTTCGCAGCCGCTCCACTTCTGACAGGCTCTGTCTCTCCAGGAGAAGCTGGTTCTGCTTCTTGAGCAGCTGCACTAGCTGGGCTGTGGCCTGGCCGTGCCTGTCCAGCTGCCTGAGCCTGCAGAAAAATCCAGAATTAGAGACGGGCCTGAGAGGTGGGGGCTTCAGCGGACAGAGGGGGAACTGGCAGATGGCAGCCCTTTCAGCAGGCTCCACCGTTCAGTGTATGCGAGGGAAGGTCCCGATACTGAACCATGACCTGAAGTCCAAGGTGACCCTGAGGTGCCAGGCGCTGGCTAGCGGTGGCCCTTGGTGAGCATCTGCTTAGCTGAATGGCACTGTTATCAGATGTGCAAGGGAACTGGAGCTTTCTGAAGATACCGCCAATTAGAAAAACACAGAGATAACTCGGGGAAGTAGAAGAAAAACTGAAACCCTAAACTCACAAGCAGAGGTCAAAGGCGAGAGGCCTAAATGGCTCCATTGTTTAGCTGGAAACATCTCTGGCAGGCTAGGCAGACGGCCGGCCCTGGCTGGGGAGTGGGCGAGGGACGCAGAAACACTGAACTAAGGGTTTTCCATTATTAATCACTCCATCACGAGCGCCGGCATCGCTGACCAGATGTCTTTAAAGACCCTAAATTTGTCATTCTGCTGATGGGCTCTCCCCTCCAGACTTGCTAATTCAGCCTATTAGCCTCATGTGTCCACAGACGGCTCCCTACAGCCAGCAGCACACTCGCCGTGGAAACGCAGGCTTTGGGTTAAGTTCAAAGTCGAACCACTCAGAACTGTTCTGGAAAGTGGTCCGATGTGTGCCCTGCCCCCTGCTCCCCCCCCCCCCCGTCCCCATCCTCGCTCATAAGCACGAGAAGTTTACTTGTATTTTCACAAGGATTGCCAAAGCTCAAAGTGTATTTCAAACTGCAGACTACAGCATCAGACTCTGCAGCCACCAGTTCTGCAGACGCTGGCCAGGGCAGGCGCTTCCGGTGGGCGCAGAGCACAGCTGTACAATTTGGGCTTATAGGGTTGGGGTAGGTTGGCTTAACCAAAAGCCACGCGGCATCCCAGTGCAGGCGACGCTGCCTCGTGGGAAACTCGGCTGCACTCTACTACCTTTCTAACACTCTCCGCAGACTCCTCTGGGAAGTTCACTTTTCTTCGCCCCCCAGCCTGCTCTCCCGACCACCTGCAATCGCTGACGGGCCTCCTGACTTTCAACCACAACAGCACTGCGCCGCTTTTAATAGAGGGCGCCCTACACCTGCAGAGCGAGACCCTGCACTGCGCATGCTCACACGCGCCGGCCCTTTGTGGAGTGGACTCCCGTGAGCCACAGAGCCCCTTTCCAGACACGGAGCGGCTCCCTGCCTCTGCGTAAAAGGTTCCAAAGTCCCCGCTCCATCTTTCCTCTGATCTGAGAGGAGGCAAAGTCCGTTGACTTTGGGTGAAGCCCCGCGTGGGCAGCCCAATCTGCCCCACCCCAGCTGGCCGTATTCACCGTGAGGCCACGTGTGTCCGCGCGCAGGTGTCCAAGTCACCCTGCAACCGAGCGGTTGCCCGGGGCGAGAAGGCCGCGGAAACTGCAGACTTGGCATCGCAGACACAGAGATGATGGCTGCCTTTTCCCCGTAACAAGCTAACAACCTGCTGCTTCCGCGTTTTTTTTTTGTTTTGTTTTGTTTTTTGTTTTTTAAGATTTATTTATTTATTTATTTGAGAGCCAGGAGCCAGGAGCTTCTTCTGGGTCTCCCACACGGGTGCAGGGGCCTAGACTTGGGCCATCTTCTGCTTTCCCAGGCTACTGCAGAGAGTTGGATCGTAAGTGAAGCAGCCGGGTCTTGAACCGGCCACCATATGGGATCCTGGCGCTTCAGTCCAGGGCGTTAACCTGCAGCGCCACAACGCTGGCCCCTGCTTGCTTCCGCGTTTAACTCAGGCGAGCAGGATTATCATTAGCAGCTGAGCTCCGCGACCCTAAGGTTCCCTTCCCATTAAGTTGAGACAACCACAAGCTCCGCTTAGTGGAGCAGGGACATGCGATAAACGACACCACTGAGGCTCAGTGGCAAGAGGGTGCTCTGAGCGGCCATTCTCCACGTACTTGGCTCAAATGGGTTACAATCCCAAGGACTGATGGGTTCAGTACGTGTTTTGGGGCTCCTCAAAAAGCATGGCTGCCCCATCCAGATCAACGAGCAGACTCCAAGGCTGCTCTGGCAGGAAGAAAGGCCAGCCACGGCCAGGCCACGCTTGCTCAGCTGCCAGAGGTGGGGCCAGTGGCCGCCCCTGACAAGACTCAATCGGGGGGTGTTGCAAACCGTAGGCCTCGGACGCTGCAGCGGTTCTGGGGTTGGGGGGCACGCGCCACCCAGATGGGCTGAATCAAGAGCCTGGGTGTGAGCTCAGGACAGACGCCCCCTTGCTGCAGGAGTAGGATGCCTGAGAAGTCAGTCCTCCCCCCAGGACACAGACCCTCACTCCTCTGCAGAGCTAAGGATGGAGTCTAGTTGGCTCATTTTTTAAACCAACTTCACTCCAAGGAGTTGCTTTCAGGAGTGCTTCTCTCCCTTTAAAAAAGACACCCCTGGGTGTGGGGGTTAGCCTCTTCTGTCACTCCACATACAGCGAAGCAGTCACCAGCTTGGAAAGGAAAAACAACAACAAACCCAAACCACGTTTGTTTGTTTTTTAAAAGCCCAACTTCAGATAAAAGGGACTATGATGTTGAGGAAACACATTTTTGTCTCAGCTCTTTCACGGCCTATTATGAAAATTGGGCAAACAGATTTTTTTCATTATGTAGTTATTTTTGGAAAGGCCTCAAACCTTGCACAACCCTTCCTGCACTCTATTAATGGACATTTCATTACCATCAGCTAGATCTCTCGGGGTGTCCTATAAACACTCAAGTTGTGTTTTTATTTCCCATGGTGGCTATTAGTCTCATTTTTGCTTTCCTAAGTGCATGTCTTCAACCAACCACAGCTGCCACTACCACCAAGTACCTCAGCTAACACTTACGGAGCCCGGAGCTAACTGTTCCACACCGATTATTTAAGTAAAAGTTCATAACCGTCCTATGAGGTATGGGCTAACATTCCCATTTTACAGATGAGAAAACTGTAGCAAAGTGGTTAATTAACTTGGTTACAGCCAAATCCATGCAGTGCCCAGGTATTCTTAAGCATTGTTCATGGCTGGTTAACTCATGGAGTTACTTCATCAAAAAAACCACGCCTTTGGGGCCGATGCTGTGGCACAGTGGGTTAAATTGTCATCTACAGTGCTGCCATCCCATATGGGCACTGGTTCAAGTCCTGGCTGCTTCACTTCCAATCCAGCTCCCTGCTAATACACCTGGGAAAGCAGCAGAAGTGACTGGGCCCTTGCACCCATGTGGGAGGTCCTGAGGAAGCTCCTGGCTCCTGGCTTCGGCCTAGCCCAGTCTCAGCCATTGCCGCCATCTGGGGAGTGAACCAGCGGGTGGAAAGTCTGTCTCTCCCTCTTTCTCTGCAATTCTGACTTTCAAGTAAATAAATAAATCTAAAAAAACCAAAAAACAAAAAACGGGCGGCGCCGTGGTTCAATAGGCTAATCCTCCACCTAGCGGCGCTGGCACACCAGGTTCTAGTCCCGGTCGGGGTGCCAGATTCTGTCCCGGTTGCCCCTCTTCCAGGCCAGCTCTCTGCTATGGCCCGGGAGTGCAGTGGAGGATGGCCCAAGTGCTTGGGCCCTGCACCCCATGGGAGACCAGGTTAAGCACCTGGCTCCTGCCATTGGATCAGCGCAGTGCGCCGGCCGCGGCGGCCATTGGAGGGTGAACCAACGGCAAAGGAAGACCTTTCTCTCTGTCTCTCTCTCACTGTCCACTCTGCCTGTAATTAAAAAAAAAAAATGAGCCCAACCCTTGATAAATACTTCTTAAAGGTCAAGTACTAAAGTGGATACTGGGAACTACACATAGCTCTTGTTCTCAGGGAGTTTCCCAATTGAGGGGAGACTGACCTGGAAACAAACAGTTGCAGAGTTCAGATAGGGCGAGGTTAAGGCATGAATACAAGCGGCCAGGATGGCAGGCAGCCTGGGAAGCTGAAGGCGTGGCTCATCATCATCACAGCTGAGCATTTGTTCTGCACCAGACACTGTGCTAAGTGCTTAGTACTTAGTGTTCACGATTCAGTGAGGCAGGAACTAACTATGATGCCCACTTCAGTGGGTTAAGCCTCTGCCTGCAGCACCAGCATCCCATATGGGCATCAATTTGAGTCCAACTTCCAGTCCAGCTCCCTGCTAATGTGCCTGCAAAGCAGCAGAGGATGCCCCAAGTGCATGGGCCCCTGCACCCATGTGGGAAGACTGGAGGAAGCCCCTGGCTTCCACCTGGCCCTGTCCTGACCATTGTGGCCATTTGCGGAATGAACCAGCAGGTAGAAGATCTCTCTGTCTCCCACCCACCCTCAATGTAACTCTCTTTCTGTAACTCTGCCTTTCAAATAAATAAATCTTTTTAAAAACATCTTTTAAAAAAAGGTGAGGAAACTGAGGCACCAACAGGAGAAATGAACAGTCAGTCCAAAGCCACTCAGCCCGCAAGTGGGAAGTGGGAAAATGAGTGGGTGCTGGTCTGGCAGGGGCAGGGCGGGGTCTCCCATGGGGGAAGCACTGCAAAGGCTATAGTGTGTCTGCAAACAGAGGCTGTGGCTGCTCAGCAGGCAGAGGTGTTGTGATTTACTGAGAGGACGGGAGGAGCGACAGGTCTGGGGTAGAAGAGAAGCTCTGGGGACAGGTGGGCACAGTTCTGAGGCTCAAGGCCTAGGAGGGACAGGGCACAGCTCCAGCTGTGCAGGCCAGATCTGCTGGGAGGTGAGGCAAGATTTGTCAGGAAGAGGCTGCCAGGGATTTTCAAACAGGGCAGTTTTTAAAAATGCAGACATCTGAGCCCCCACCACCTACTGGGTGAGAATCTCAGCTGCAGTGACAGGAAGACGCCCAGGGCAGGGCCTTGAGGAACAAGCTCTTTCAACAGCTGGCGGAGGACTGGAAGCCAACAAGACCCTGGGAAGGGAGGAGACCCAGGAGGCAGAGGAGAAGCCCACCCCAGAGGTGCAGGGAGGAGAGGCTGGAAGGAGGTGTGGCCAGCCTCTGGGAGCTGGCGGGGCAGGAGCCTTGTTTCAGGGGCTGGAAGAGGAGACCACTCCTTAGGGTGAGGGGCTGGGCTGGGAGAGGCAGCGAGAGGGGTGCAGAGGATGGGAGTGTCGTGAGCCACTGGGGAGCAGGCACTGGCAGAGAGAGGGAAACCCTCGGGGCAGGCCTGGTGAGCTTCCCAAGGGAAGAAGGGGCCCTGGGCAGCCCCGTCCACCCTGAGGCAGGAGAAGGCATGTAGCACGGAGCTCGGAGCTCGGCAGCCTCCCTAGCCCCACCAAGGCGGAAGGCTCTGCTGTTGCTGAGAAACGGAGCAAGGCAGCAGGTGGCATCAGGGGCCCTCTTAGGACAAGAGTGCCGGCCTGGGGCACAGACATGTGCCAAGCGGAGGGCACCCTCTTAGGAAGACACAACTCCACATGACCTCGGTCCCTCTCCTGCTCTTCCCTCTGGCCAGGGCTCCTGCACACCCAGCACCCCTGTCCTTCTCCCGTAGCCTGTGACCTCCACACCTGCCACAGCTCTGCCTGGGAGGTCACTCCTCTTGGTCCTCACAGGGCTGGGAACTTCTTTGCAGGGCTTAGGGCTGTGTCATTACTATTTTGAGAGACTATAATTTCTTGTTTTTAGCTATGTCCTCTGCAAGGCCTTAAACATCAAAAGAGCAAGCAGGGTTGCCATCCTGGGTCTGCTTAGGCAGCAGCCCCTTCTGCAAGGAGCCCCAGCATCCTGCAGACCCCAGGAGGCTCCCCACAGCAGGAGAAAGACTGAATCACCAGACTTCAGGACTTCACTCTAATTTAGAACTTTTTGTCCCCAGACATGCATTTATCTTGGAAACAGAGAGTTGTCCTATCCCAGGGAGACCTTCAGGACCAGCTTGGTATTTGCAATGTGTTGTCATTGTGGCTATGCCTCCTGCCCCTGTCCCAGGCCTCATCCCTTTCCCATGAAGCAGCTGGGCTTCCCTGCCCTCACAGCGGTCAGCTGGTCCATGAGGAAGGGCTGCTGCCCCACGCTGGTGTGGAGCAATCAGCACAGGGCCCCATCCCGCCCCCTTCTGTGCCAAGGCCTCAGCAGGTATTCTTGGTGTGGAAGGGGTAGCAGTCACCATGGGAACAAACAGGCCCAGGTTTATAAAGGCATCAACATAGATAAAATCACAAAAAACTAACTCATGTGGGTGCTGGGCCCTGGGCACATCTCTATTGGGCCAACAGCAATCCTCTGAGCCACACCCCGTCAGCATTGTCAGAACCACCATTTTTAACAAAATATGCAAGACTTCAAGATAAGATGGAGCAAATGGCGAAATACAAAACAACTTTATGGAGCTGAGTGGGCTGGGGAAAATATCTTATGCAAAACAGAAGCGGTGCAAGCTGCCAGCTCTGGTCCTATGCTTCAGACACTCATTTGCTATGAATACTGTGAAAGCAAGTGAATACATATATTTAAATTTTTATGTTGTATGTGATACATACAAAATATATGCAGTGTATAAATAGAGTTTGGAGGTATAATAACCAAATGAACACTTGTGAGCCCACTGCGGCACCCCAGGGCCACTATGGGAGAGTTTCTCCTCCAGGCCAGCCCTCCTCTTCCCCAGTGCCCGCAGATTTTTCAATGAGGAGGTTTTAGTTTCACCCGGGAACTTGCCACAGCCTGCTGTGGGGTGCAGGGTTTGTTTGCTTTGGTTTCCTTTTTGGTTTTGGTGGTAGTGGTGGTGGTGGTGGTGGTAAAATGTCTTTGGTTCTGAAATGTTTTCAGACCACACCCTCTTCCCTGTGGTCACTCTAAGGCAAAGATTTTCCTTCCTCTTCTAATGTTCTCAAAATGCACAGATACACGGTTTCCTTGGGAGAGGGGCCTCCCTGTGGACATGAAGAACGTTTTTTCAAGCATCTTATGGATTTAAAAGGTGCAAATGTTGTAACTGTAAAATATGCACTCCCTTCTCTACTATTCCCAGTAGTGCCCATAAATATTTGCTGCTGCATCTACTAAATGCCCAAGATTGTAAGCTGTTTATAGTCATTAACTAATTTATTGTGAGCATTTTACATTCATTCACTAATGTAATCCCCATAACAATACCACACTGCAGGTATTATTATTATCTGTATTTTGTGAATGCAAAAAGCAAGGCACAGACACCCAGCTGCCCTGTGTGCTACTTATCACTCTCCTTCAACTCCCCTGGTTACAGGAGACCTCTACTATCCAGACTCTCTTCCTCCTCCATCAGACCCTCACATGCTGGTGTGACCCTGAGCCGGGCTCAGCAAGCTACTCCCTGGAAGCATTCCACCTGCCAGGTTTCCTTCTCACACCCAGGGCTCCAGCGGAGACACTGAGGAGCCTCAACACTCAATCCCTGCCTCCCGCCGCCCCTCAGCATTTCAGTCCCCTTGGCTCTCACCACGTGACACGCTGGACACATCTCCCAATGCTCCTCCCTGTGTCCCTCTCACATGGTGAGATCACTCCCAATCTCGCATCCCCCCAACTCCTCCTTGCCTCCTCCCTGTCCCTTACCATCCACGTAGCTTCTATGGATGAGCCCTCTAAACCTCTCCCCAGCCTGTCCTGTCCAACCCACTCCCCTTCCCTCTGTCAGCATTCCTCATCCACATTCCTGCAAAGCCTTCCCATGGGTCTGTCGCTGTTGGCTTCCCCCTGGCCCTTGGAATCCATACTCCCCACAACAGCTAGAGTAGAAGGATCCTTCTGAACACAATTCCATTCAGGTGATGGCTACCTGTATATCTAAGCATAAGGCCAAACTCCTTTGCAAGCGTGATCAAAACTTCCACTATTTGGCTTCTGGTGTAATTCTCCCCAGCCTACACACCCACATCCTATCCTTTCCAAACTGCTCTGCACAAAGGCCCCACACTCCCTGCCACTGCGCTCATGCTGTGCTCTCTGCTTGGAATCCCTTCCCTCCTGTGGCCAACTCCTCCCCTTCCTGGCCCTTTAAGACTCAGTGTGACTGTTCCAACCTTGCAAAGTTCCCCCAGGCCTCTCCTCTGCACTTCCCCTGTCTACCACTCCCATTGAACTACGGCTTTCCCCGGGGCAGGAACGCCATCTTGTTGGGCTCCGCTCCTCTAGCACGCAGCAAGGTGCCCGACATTGAGGTGACTGGAATGAGCAAATGACTTATCTGAGCACAATATTTATGGTAAGTGTAAGGCCTGTGATGCCATTTATGGTACAGGTTACTTTTATATGCAATAACTTTGTTCCTGAAAAAAGTGTAACATTTAAATTAAATAAAGTATGCTATTGGAGTCAGCCATTTACTTGGAAGAATCCTGGAATAGGTCAACAAGGACGGGACTTGGAAGTGGGAGGCAGGAGTTCAAAATCCCATCATGAACACATCGGGCCAGAGGTTTGATCTCTCCCAAGCACAGGTTCTGCATTTGTTAGACAGAAAATCCTGCCTCCACAGCTCCTGACTGGAAAGGCCGGGGGTGGGCCCAGCAGTCTGCATTTTTATAAGCCCTCCCTCTTGGTGATTCTGATGAATTCTCAAGTGTAAGCACCACTGGTACATTATAATTCACAGTATTAATCACACATACAAAATGAGTTCTTCTGGAGAATAATTTTTATGTGGCTTCAATTTTGATCATCAAAACAACCAACTGTCTAAATGAAAACTTTCCTAGTCTGCTCCTAAAATGTTTTGGCATCAGTCATGAGAACTTAAGCAAATCCTGTGATCACTTTGAATTTCAGTTTCTTCACATGTGAAATGAGAGGATAAGCTAGAACTGGGTCAGCAAACTTCAGACCACAGGCCAAATCCACGCTGGCCCGCTGCCCATTTGTGTACGATCTGCTAGTTGAGAATGCTTTTTTCATTTTTTAAATGATTGAAATAAAAATCAAAAGGGGAGAGAATAATGAGTGAGTGTTGTATGAAATTCAACTTTCAGTGCCTCTAAGTCAGCTTTCAGGGCAATGTGGCCATGCTCATTCATCCACGGATTGTCTGTGGCTGCTTTCATACCACGAGGCTAAGCGGTTGCAATGGGAACCACATGGCCACGGAGCCTAAAATATTTCTTACCTGACCTTCTAGAGAAAACACTGAGGCTAGAAAATATCTAATATCTCTTCCAGTTCCACATTTCTACTTTATGACTTCATAAAATTTTACTAGGTTTCTATCTTCAAGTATCACCTTCAAGTATCTAGGTGACCCAAATTGAAGTTTTAAAAATCCTGTTACTCTAATTAGTGGTCTAGGTAATTAATTTTTATAGATACCTCAAAGTTGTATGCTTTGATCCAATACTTAGAAATTGTTACTGTATTTTACATATTTCCATCTTATTAATGCAGTCATACAGAATTAGCCAGAATCAGCAGTTTTCTTAGGAGTCTAGAACACAATTCCAGCACCTCATCCTCACTCACAAAGTTAAGGTACTTTCAATGGCTGCTTTGCTTTTTAAATTTCCTTTGTCTAAATCCACCCTAGTCAATAATGATTTCAATAGAGTTAATTCATCCTGAGGCTCATGCAGTCCTGGGAAGAGTTTACACTGTTAATAAAGAGAATTTATTTTCCTGTAATGCCCTTTAAATTTTTCATTCTTTCAAATTTCCAGTTAGCTTTGGCTGTCTACAGAGGTAAAATAGTGGGCTGCTTGGGAACAGACATAGAGGAAAGACCACCCCCACCCCACTCTTCTCCCCCAAACCATCAGGTCATGTTTGAGCTGGGAGCTTTTCAGACCTTTCATTTCAGCCCACCATGGTCACACCGAGGCCCAGAGAGGACAAGTGACTTGCCCACGGTTACCCAGTCTGTCTAGCAAATCTTACACTGGAAGTGTAACTCTTCAATTCCAGTGATGGCAGCATTTCAAAATGTTTTTAAAAGGGTTGGCCAAATCTTTAATTCCTTACTAAAATATACAGATTTCAAGAAGGATCTTAAGAAAGATAATGTCCCAGGCAACGTTCTGGGAAGCTGCTAAGGTGTGAGGAAGAGGACATCCCTAGCCTAGGATTCTCCCACTAGCTCGATGGAAAGAACCAGATTTGGTTTTGTTTTTTATTCCTTTCAAATTTCCAATCTATTACAGACTGATGGTTTTGTGATGTGCAATGGAAATGAGATCGCACTGTCCAACTACTCTCAAAGTCTCTGAACAGTCTTGATTTCATTTCTCATTGTGTCACAGACCAGCTACAAACAGTTTGAGGACCAGCTTTGGGCTGGAAGCCACACTTTGGGCAACAATGACCCAGTCCACAGCCTGGTACAGCACAAATGATGCAAAAACAGGGGGCCTGAAGCTCCCGGTACCACCTTGGAAAGCTTCTTACTGGTGGCTCCCACAGTGCCACAGTGGCCCTCAGTGACCGCTCAGTGCTTGGATGAATGGCCAAGGCAACAGATTTAGTGTTTTAGGTAGCAGAGCCACTGCCTTTAGCAGGACCCTGAAGCCTCTGACAACGTCACTGAGGCTTTTTCACAGACTGACTGCTTAAAACTGCGCTTCTAACAGAAAGGTGGCACAGTTTCACGTTAAGTCGATGAGGAACATCTGTTGCATCCCTACCTTGTAACCTGAAGCCATCTGATAGAGGCGGGGCTTGTAATACAGGGAATAAGGGATCCTCACAATGTGAAACAGGGATGTGAATGGATCTGGCAAGAAGACTTCAACATTCTTTTTTCATTTAACCTATTTTAAGGGGTATCATTGTGGTGCTGGGGATTAGGCCGCTGCTTGTGATGCTGGCATCCCATATCGGAGTGTCAGTTTGAGACCTGGCCACTCCACTTCTGATCCAGCTTCCTGCTCATGCATCTGGGAGGACAGTGGAGCATGGCCCAGGTTCTTGTGTCCCTACCACCCACGTGGGAGACGAGGATGGAGTTCTTGACTTCAGCCTGGCCCAGACCAGACTGCTGCAAGTATTTGGGATGTGAACCAGCAGATGCAAGATTGCTCTCTCCACCCTCCCCACTCTCATTCTGCCTTTCAAGTAGATGAAAATAAATAAACATTTTAAAAAATTGCTGAGGATCCAAGACACTTTTTTTGATGGGCAGAGTTAGACAGTGAGAGAGAGAGAGAGACAGAGAGAACGGTCTTCCTTCCATTGGTTCACCCCCCGAAATGGCCGCCTGAAGCCAGGAGCCAGGTGCTTCTTCTTGGTCTTCCCATGCGGGTGCAGGGGCCCAAGGACTTGGGCCATCCTCCACTGCCTTCCCGGGCCACAGCAGAGAGCTGGCCTGGAAGAGGAGCAACCGGGACAGAATCTTGCGCCCCAACCGTGACTAGAACCCGGGGTGCCGGTGCTGCAGGTGGAGGATTAGCCTAGTGAGCCGCAGTGCCAGCCTCAGGATCCAAGCCACTTTAAAAGAACTCCACCCTGAGCCATCATCAGCTGCCTCCCAAGGTACACATTACTGGGGAGCTGGAATCAGAAGCTGAGGCAGGACTTGAACCCTGGCACAAGGATATGGGATGCAGGCATCTTAAGCAGCATTTTAACCCCTATGTCAAATGCCTGCCCTAAGAATCTTGGATCTTAAAGAACCTAGAAGACCATCTGTCTCAAGCTTGAGTTACCTCAACCAGCTCTTTTGAAAAAAAAAAAAAAAAAAAGCAGAGTCATGGCAACTGCGGCCCATTGTTCAAAGAAAATGGGGCAGAGGAATGGAAATTGCTGAAAATCAGAATCATCACAGAGTAGGATCCAGGCTGCACTGGGCTTAAGGCCATACAGAAGCACTAGCAGAAAAGCCCACATTGCTTTATGTATCATATCCTTCCCTCATCCCAAAGGTATGAATCCTTTTGGTTTATTTGGAAATAATGCTAAACTGACAAAAATTTCCAAGAATACCCACATATCGCTGAACTGAATTCAGCTGTTGTGTTAATTTTGCCCCATTTTATTTATTATACTTTTTCGTGTGTATACAAGTATATAGTACTTTTTTCTGAACCTTTGAGAACAAGTTGCATATACCATTGCCCTTTTTCTCCTAGATGCAGCAGTGTACCTCCTGTGTATAAAGATCTCCTCTTACAAAATCTTCTCTTATGGCATACTATCTACTACAGTGAATTTAATATCAATATAATGCTTTTAGTTAACCTACTGAATTCTGGTTTTGCCAAGTGACCTAATAATATCCCTTTCCTCTTCTACAGAAAATATCCTTTGCACTTAGTTGTCCCACCTCTGTGGATTTATGGATTCTGCAACTGGGAAGAGCCAAAGACCCGTTTCATTGGGATGAGTGCTATTTGCAATTAAAGCAACAACCGTCTTAAAGATACAAAGCTATAAGATGCAGGGCAGTCCTGCTCAGCTACCCTCTAACAGGTGTTCATGGACAGGGCTGTGTTTTCAGAAAGACTCTGTTCTAGTGAGGTCCTCGTGGTGCTCCCAAGACCAAAGCCCTCTGAGAGGGGTTCTGGAGCGTTTGGAGCCCCCCACTGTTGTGAGCTCCTCCTCGGTTTCCTTCATTGCTGACCATCCCTGGGATAGCCAAATTGGTCACAGAGGTACGATGGAATAGGAGTGAGCCCATGGCAGCTAAGTAATAACCAGATTCAGTCACTACAGTGCACTTACTGGCACACATCTTAATTAGGTTTTAATGCAAGTAATTTGATAACAACTCCTGGACATCTACTACAGAACTGTCAATGCCGAAAGCTTTTTTATTTAGCTTCTCTTCCCTCTATACCGACACAGCCTCCCTGCTGACCCTTGTCAAAGAACCCCATCTGCTGGTTGCCACGGTAACTGAAGGCGACCAATTGAGCTGAACAGAGTGACTCAGAAATAAAATCTGCCGCCAAAGGAATTCTGCTAAGAGTAATAAATCATTTAGTAAAAGGGGGTCCTCCACACGGTGCTGAGTGTTGGGATTATATGATGGCATAACTCTTCCAGCTAGAAGGTCCATGACAGATCAGAGTGATTAGGCCTGCTGGAGGGCTCATTTTGGTTTCCAGCGGGCTCCAGCAGAAGAGCCCGATTCTGCCCAGTTACATGCCACTGTGGGGGAGAAGAAATGAACTAAGTCAATTTTTTAATATTTGGGCTGCAAATTTTTGAATTTTAACGAGTGGCAAAAGAATCAGTGAAGGCTTCCAGCAGTCCTTTCTCCTTTTGTTTTGTTTTGTTTTATCATCTCAAGCTAACACAGTGCTCGGGTAGCCCAGGGAATCACTGTGGCACTGAGGAAGATGGCAAAGAGAACACATAGGAAGACTCCTCTGGGATATGCCAGTTCAGTACCACCTCCCTGTCATCAATCAGCTTTTAGGTGTTCCAACCAGAAAGTATCTATGTGCACAAGACGTGCAGTCCTTGAGATGGATAGCAAGGGAGCCTTAGAGGAGCAGCAGCGTGCTCCAGCGACAAGACACAGTGTTCCTTGTGGAACAGAATCCTCATTTTCTCCTAAATTAAGATTTCCTGAATAAGAGGGACAGAAGGGAAAGGGAAGGCGAGACTTTCATCTGGGTCTGCTCCAGGGGACAGTAGGCAGTCCCTCCCTGCACAGGCCCCAGCTCCCAGATTTCACAAAGAACCCCTGCTCCACCTTTCATGTTAAATCACGTAGGGTTTAATTCCTAGGTGCCGGTTCCTTGGTGGTTGTTTTGGGAGAAATTAGGTTCCAGGGCAGTACAAGCAGCCGTCCTGACGGAAAGCACAGTAGGAGGAGAGGGGCCACAGGGCCTGGTGGGCTGGGGGGGCAGCTCCATGCCCACCGGCTGCAGACTCCCATTTTAAAAGATGCACGGGCAGGATTCCGACCGTCTCCCCAGCCCCTGACCCATGTGGCAGTGGGAGTACCCGTGTACTGAGTCATCCACACAGAGAATTTCCTGCTTCAGAAAAAGAGCAACTGCCAAACAGAAGGTAGAATATTTCCCCCCCTCCCGCTGCTTGCCAGTAGAATGCTTAAGTCTTAAGTTTGACGGAGTTAGGGAGCGGCTGTGCGCGCTCCGGACGAGCCCTTCCCGTATTCAGCTTTTCCGCGAGCGCACGGAGCACAGCCCTGCAGTGCCACGCCGCGTCCCGGGAACTCCCAGCCGGTATGCTACCCCAGGCTGGGCAACTGCTTCTGCAGGCTGAGCAGACAACAGGGCTCCGCGAGTGCCTCCGGCACGCCAGCACCTGCTCTCGGGCCACCTCGGAGCGCGTTCTGGGCCGGAGGCGCCCCACTCCGCGGCAGCTCCGCGCTCCAGCTCTGAGCGCCGCCGCGCGCCGGGTCTCCCCGCCCGTGCCGACCTCCCGCCGGCTCCGCCTCTGGACACTCGGCGGCCCGGGCTTGCCCGGCGTCCTGCCGTCCCCCGGGAGGGCCCCGAACCTCCTCGGGGCAGGCGCCCCGCACCTGGAGGGCGGCGAGCTCAGACGGTGGGGGGCGGGAGGCTGGGTGCGGAGCATCTGGCTCGGGAGACTCCGCGGGGGCTCAACGGGCCTCTGGACTTTGGCAGCAGGAGAGGATTAAAGAGAGATGGCAGTTGAGGGAGGGAGATGGGTGAAAGCTTCATTAACTCCACGCTCACGTCCCAATTTCTTTCCCCTGAGAAGAAATCAGGAGAAAGGTTGATTTCCTCGTGATGAGAAAGGTGCTGCGTGGTTGTATTTGCTCATCTTACTTTTTAATTCCTTATTTGTAAACAAATAAATGAAACGCTGTTTGTTGATGATCAGGAAGGACTCAAATTTTAATTAAAGAGGGAAAAATCTTGGCCTATAGGCCAAGGGAGTATTACAGCCTGTTTTGATTTCTACATTAGAGGTTATGCTTCTCATGGGACTTAGTTGAAACTAGCAAGGACTCAAACAAGGTGGGTGAAAAGGTGCTGGGTATGGCATTGCCCCCACCTCCATCCCAATAGCTACACTGAATTTTAAGATCAGTCCTAAAATGTGCTAGGGAAAACAGGACTTCGTGATGACAATACTGTCAGCCAGAACTGCTTTATGACCCAGTTCATACTTGAATTCTCTCCCTTTCTTTACAAAGTTACCATGAGTTTCACTTCTGAGCCCTACTTCCAATTCTTTGTCTCTGCTCCCTCTCCCGATTTCTCCTCCATATTTCAATTCCCAGACACTCTTGAACTTTTGCACACGCTGCCAGTTTGAGCCTGCACAGAAGAATCAGTGTATTAATTCCACTCGGAGGCAGTGCGATTTTTCTAACACAATCTGCCCAACCTGAACTCTTTCCTTCAGAAACACTTTGCCTTTAAAAAGAAACTCCCAGCATGAACCTCATAAGAAGCGACATGTAACAGACAGTGCATGTGGCGCTGGGCATGCAGCTCAGAATTAAAAGAGAATTTTTTACTTTGTTTCTTCAGTGCCATGTGCATAATGTACATGTGGACGAAACTGACATCAGACATTTAAAGCAAAAAGGGGTGGGGGAAGGAGGATGTGATGGTGGCGGGAAAGAGAGAAAATATGTTGATAAAAACAGTAACTTCTGTTAATCTACATTTTTCAGTCACTGTCTTAATTAAGAATGTTAGGAAATATGTTGCAGTTTAATTGCATTGTTTCAAGAGATTCTAAGGCTGACAAATTTGGGACCCTGTACACTTGGAAGGTAAAAGAGAGTAAAGTGGTAATTTCTTCCATGTGGTAGATAACAATCAAAATTATGCTTTCCATAGACACTCCACCCCCACACAGATCTCAGACTCAGAGGACAAAGTAGGAATACTCTAACACTTCACATGTGCAGTAAGAAATGAGCTCTTTAGAAAAGCAGTGTTTCAAATCTAGAAGAATAAAATTTTAAATACAAAGAATGCACAAAAAGGAAACAGTGCTTTATTTGAAATTTCTGAGTGACATCTTATCCTTGCAGAAAACAGTTATCAATGAAGACTAACAGTCTTTGGATGCTTTTTTTTTCAGATGACTTTAAGATAGTAAAACTTGCTTGCCTGAGCTGCAAGTGCATCCAAATGATGACAGTCTGAAGACACATTCCCATTTCTAGGTTCTGTGCCCTTTTCTCCTACTGGAGCCCAGTCAGCCATTCTGTAGCTTTCATTTCTCTTTTTGAGAAGGCTTTGCATCATTATGCAGTAAATAAATTAGAATGTATTTTCATTGCTCCAAGTCGCTTTGAGGGAAGCCATAACAGACATGGCTAGCCTCCTATTTCCTAGAGTTGAGCACAGGTAACTCATATTCATCCCAAATGCTGCATTTCCTAGTTGCTCCCATTATGGTGACCTGTGTAGTTAGAGTCATTGCCTATGAGAAAGAAGGTGTTGGTATTCAGTGCACTCTGCTCGCATAATGTGCAGCCTAAACCAGGCACTAAGCAGCCAGCCCTCACTGACCCGCACTGACCACCTAATTCAAACTTATTTGATGTCAGGTTCTCTGAACAAATCCATGAGCGGAGCCACTTCGTCTTCCATAAGCACAATTTGTGATACACTTGCTATCTTACTCCAGGAAGGTGGAGGTAAGTTTTAACCGCTAACTTTTCTAGCAGCTAAAGATGTTGCACTGCATGCACAATGAAACCACCAGAAGATAAGATCCGTCTGACTTAGAATGTAGGTGGACCGTCCACGCAGCTAGGCTAAGACAGCAAGCTCAGCAGATCTGCACTGCCTGCAAGGTCTCAGGGCATCTTCTGCTTCTGGCCTCTCAAAACAAGAATGGTCTGAGGACTTGACCATAGCTGAAATACTGCCAACGTGCTGCCAGCATCACAGTGTCTCAATTCTCAAACTTGTGTCTACATTTTGTATTAGGGAGGACAGTCCTGAGGTCTCAAATTGCTTAGTAAATGGCAGTCCAATGAGTTCACTGTAATGGAGTTACTGTATGTGTGTGTGTGTGTGTGTGTGTGTAAATGATACACACAAGGCCCCCAAACAGTGAGGAGACATACCTCTTATGTGTTCAACACCAAGGATCTCATAAAACTCAGCTCACTAAGAAATGAAAGGTTTTCCATCTCCTAGGGTTTCTGGAAACTCTGGTGGGAGGGACACATCCCCCCCAAATAGCTGGATAACCTCCTTTGTCAGAGGCTGAGCTTGGACCCCCTGCCGAGGGCTGAGGGAGCAGATACTGAGGAAGACATTATTAATTACCAAATTAGGGAGAGAGCATTCACCCGGACATAGAGGCGGGAGAACCCAGAGCATAATTCTAAATGGACAAGTTCTGAGTCAATCCTGCGAGTCGGAAGAACACTGAAGAAGAAAACATAACACTGGGGGAGCAAGGGGAGCAGCACCCGCCCGAGGGCCAATTGCCTCTCCAGCAGCGGCAAGGCTGTTCCTGGGCTCGCAGGACCATTTGTTCCATTACACAATCTCCTGAAGCCATTTAGAGAGAGCTCAAACAACTGCCTGTACCAACACGACACATGGCTTCCCATCCCGACTCTTTGCTAATCCAGACGCTCCAACCATCTTTCTTTAAGATGCCATATGGTTGGCAGAAGCCTGTAGATCTAGCAGCACATCTGCTTGTACGTTTCTTCTTCCCTCCATCCCCCCAACAAAAGAGGGATAGAGACAGACCGAGAGAAGGGCACGCTGTATACCTCTGCCCAGACAGATAATTTTTTTAGGTGTTTTAACAAAATAAAACCATTAAAGGGATGGCCAGGAATTATTCAAGGTTCAATCATTTTTAACTAGATAGCCAGGGTTTGTTTTTTTTTTTTCTCTTTAGCGATTTAAAACAAAATTAAAAAACAAAAAACAAAGAATGGACGGTCTCCTTTCTCCAAGGGATGATTACTTTAAAACCAGTTCAAAACTCTCTTTCTCACTCTCTTTGAGAATCCTCGGACAGCATCCTTGCCTGAGGCGATTTCTTCTTTTCGGTCAAGGAAGCCCGACAGGCTGAGAAACTAGCAGATACCCAGAGCCTGCTTTGTTAGCAAGCACCGCACGGCTGTATGCTAATGAGTCGGCACCGACACAGGGCTTTTTTGGTATGATGAGCAAAGATTGTTGACACTGTTGAAATCCTGGCTCTCCTGGCCTGTGAGCACACGGGCTGCCTCCTTGGAATCCGGCCCCCAGTGAGACAGGCTGCAAAAAAATAATACATTCTACTCTCCTGATGACTGAAATCTGGCCATTTGTAACTTAGAGCAGTTGGGTGGGGGATTATTAAAAGACCAAAAAAAAAAAAAAAAAAAGCAACCCAAACTCTGTAAGGCCAGGGATCAAAGACACAGGTGAAAATCGGGACTTTCTTCCGAACTAAAAGCAAAACCTGGGAGACACATGTGAGTGATGAAGGCCAAGGTGCTGGCTTCAGGAGCAAAACTGTGAAGGGGGGCGGGTAGAGGAAATTAGTACAACCTCAGCCACATCAGGGCCAGCGGGGACATTTGCTCCACATCGGGGCAGACGGCACTCTGCATTTGTGACAGCTCCACTGGTGGTAATTTCGGTCACAGGTAAAAAGCCAAGTGTCTGATCTCCTTGTAAATTTTCCTGGACTTTGTATTGGTTAACCGGAAATAGTTTTTCATGTCCGTGGAAACATAATGTAGCCAGAAAGCAAATATTCCTTTGTTGCAAAAGTGGTCGGGATTTTTTTTTTAAGACAAAGAGGGAGGGGCCGGTGCTGTGGCATAGTGGGTAAAGCTGCTGCCTGCAGTGCCGGCATCCCATGAGTGCCGGTTCGAGTCCTGGCTGCTCCACTTCAGATTCAGCTCTCTGCTATGGCCTGGGAAAGCAGTGGAAGATGGCCTAAGTCCTTGGGCCCTGGCACCTATGTGGGAGACCTGGGAAAATCTCCTGGCTCCTGGCTTTCGATTGGTGCAGTTCTGGCCATTGCAGCCAACTGGGGAGTGAACCAGCAGATGGAAGACTCACTCTCTTTCTCTCTCTCTCTCTCTCTCTTTTTCTCTCCACCTCCCCTTCTCCTTCTGTGTAACTATGACTTTCAAATAAAAAAAGTTTCTGGTTGCTTAAAAAAAAGACAAAGGGGTGGGAAGAGAAGTTACATGTTCGTTTTTATGCATTTTATTTACTTGAAAGGCAGAATGACAGAGAGAGAAACAGATAACAGATATTCCATCCATTGGTTCACTTCCCAAATGGCTCCAACAGCCAGGGCAGGGGCAGGTGGAAGCCAGGAGCCAGAAATGTTATCCAAGTCTCCCACATCAGTGACAGAGTCCTAAGTATTTGGGCCATCTTCTGCTTTCCTAGGTGCATTAGCAGTGAGCTGAATCAGGAATGGGCATCAGGGACTTGAACTAGTGCTCATATGGGATGCCAGCATCACAGAAGTGACTTAACCCACTGTGCCACATCCCTAGGCCCCTGGAAGTGCATGTTTTAAATGCTGTGCAATTATCTGTAATGTCCCTTTATTTGCCCAGAAGCTCTAAGCGACAGGTATTATTCCAATGTAATAGATAAGGAGAATGAGATTTAAAAGTTAAACACACACACACACACACACACACACACACACACACCATTCAGCAAAGCAAGGCGTTTAGGAAGGGGCCAAACTCAGAAGCCCACATCTATCTCACTACAGTACACCAGGCACGCAGGTACATGTGTATGAGAGATATTACCTCAAGGATACGCCCAGGCCGCAGTATGCCAATCTGAGCAGATCACTGTGCGCTGGTGAGCAATAAGCTATTTATCATTAGTATGCAGACAGGGGCATCACATTGTAAATTCAGTTTCTTTTGTAATCTACAACATGAATGAAAATTCATGTAACTGACATGTAAAAACATGAGGAGTGACTTAAAAAGCATTGAAAATTGCAATTAAAAGATCAGAATGTGGCCACTCAAAAAACTGTATGCCCTTCCCTTGATTTACCTTGAAACCTGCATACATATTTTGATGTTGTCATTGTCTAGAACACTGCTGCCATATCTTTTTCTTCTTTTTTCTTTTTGGAACTGTCTTCATTGCTTTGGGCTTAGCAGTACAAAGATCTATCTTTTGTGGATGGATATATATGCAAGTTTGTGAATGAGGATATGCTAAGTGCATTTCATTAACATCATATATTTTATTATAAAATACATGCAGTGGATGCTATACTATTCCAAGGTGAGATATCAGGCCAAACTAGATACCAGAATCCAAATTCTATCATCCATAAGAAAAATAAGCTATGATAACAATTCGCAGGGCTATTATCATTGAGATGTGGCTATGCAGAATGCCAAGTGGGATTTAAAATAAAACAGATCTAGTTTGAGATCTAAGCATGATCCTAAGCAAATTCTTTTAAATTTTTATCTTCATTTGCAACACAGAAGAATGCTACTTATATCACAGGACTGTCAAGAGTTAGACACAGTATGTAAGGTGACTGTCACTTAGAGTCTGAATAAGTGAAAATACATCATAATTGCTATTATTTTACTTGAGTACGTTTGAGCATATATAAAGTGCTTTTTCATTAGCCCATTCAACTCTGAAAAAGCTCAGTTGTGTAGAAAGTATTTCTTCTATCTAATGAACGAGTAACCGAGATTCAACAACACGAATAACTAATTCAATAAACAGTACTATTGAGCCCTTTCTATGCACCATTAATGAGCTAAGCAGTTTCCCAGCCATTTAAAAATCTCAACACAAACAAACTTTTTGGAAAAGTAATTATTGATATTATTATGATCCTCATTGTATGGACAAGGAAACCAAAGCTAAGGGAGGCTACATCTTGCCTAAGTTCATATAGATAGTAGGCAGCAAAGCTGGAACACAATTCCAGGTCTGTCTCAGAAACCCGTGATCACAATGATAGCTGTAAAACAGTGGAGATGAAGCAAAGCCAGACTGCTCTATTTAAAATTCAGTGTCCTCCTGTCCATGCCACATTGTCACTGGGTGGAACTTACCTAAAGCTACTGTGTATTTGATTTCCTCGTCTTGAACCAAATCTCTGTGTATGCCACCAATTTCTACAGAATACATGGTTCAAGCATCATATGTATGTGTATGCACACGCATACATAGCATGAATGTTCTATGAATGAGGTGCTCCTGACGACACAGTTAAAAGTTAAGATAGCATTCTTTATAAGATGGCAGGACTTGACATATGCATTTGACTACATCCACACAAACAGACACCAACAAAGCTGTCACCATATATTTAGAATATGGTTGAATTTTGCTAAAATTACCAGAAGTTTCTTATCAAAAGAATAGTCTTTCAGTAAGAATTAACTATCAGTAGAAGGCTTCCGAATCAAAATCATTTGCAAAGGACGGATGCTAGAACATTTGGAGGTTGCTGATCAGACACTGACATGAAGAAATGTGAGTGGGTGCAACTGAAGTCTGGATTTATGGTCTCTCCAAACAAAGCCACCGAGCTTCTCTGGTGGACTCTCCTCTTATTTCTGATGTAAGGAGGCAAGGATGATGTAATCTCAAGTGGGTTTTTCTCTGTCACTCTATCACTCTGTTTGTGCCCGAGACCCCCCCACCCCCCACATCTCTCCTTTACCTGATTGGAACCGGATAGATTTCCATAAGCCAAGACTCTGTCACTGGTTCCCTCCTCTAGTACCCTCGTTTCCATGCTCCTGATTTCACTGTTAATTTCACATCAGAGTGGAATAGGACTTAAAATAAAAGCATTTGTTACTGTTCCAGTGCTTCCAAGTTCATAAACCTTTGATCACATTGTCAGTCAACAGGTAATAACAGCTTCCAGGAGCGTCTTAGCACAATAAATTGTGAATGGAGATGCTTTACTTGGAATTCAATGGTGTTTAAGCACCAGGTGCCCCATAGGTTTCAAACTTTAAGGGTATGAAACTTGAAGGCTTAACAGGAGTATTCTAGAATGCATCATCATGAAACAACCCACCTATCTTCTTAAAGTTTTTATTTATTAATTTTCATTTTTATTGGAAAGGCAAAGGGACAGACGAAGAGAGATATTCCTTCTACTGGTTCACTCCTCAAATGCCTATAATAGTTGACCAGAAGCCCAGAACTCCATCCAGGTATCCTAGGTGTGTAGTAGGGATCCAAGTACTTGAGCCATGACCTGCTGCCTCCTAGGGTGCATATTATCAGGAAGCTGGATCAGCAGCAGAGGAGCTGGGACTCAAACTAGGCAGTCCAATATGGGATACAGGCATCCCAAGTGGCCACTTCACTGCTGTGTCAAATGGCAGCACTCCTATCTTACCAAGAGTGAAGGCCAAGGGCTGCTGTTGAGGCGTGGTGGGCAGAGCTGCCACCTGTGACACCCACATCCCATATGGGTGCAGTTCATGTCCCAGCTGCTCCACTTCCAATCCAGCTCCCTGCTAATGGCTTGGAAAAGAAGCAGTGGAAGATGACCCAAGTGTTTGGGCTCCTGCCGCCCACGTGGGAGACCTGAATGAAGTTCCTGGTTCCTGACTTTGGCCTGGCCCATTGTGGGCTGTTCTGGCTATCTGGAGAGTCAACCAACAGATGGAAGATTCTCTCTCTCTCTCTGTGTGTGTGTGTGTGTGTGCATGTGTGTCCGTCTGACTCTTATAAAAAAAAAGAGTGAAGAAGTGAAGATGAACACTGTCCTGCTGAGAAGACTTGGTTTTCCAGAGGCGGGCATTTAGATTATTTGTCTTTCATTAATTTCATGGCTTGCAGTGGTCCCCTGGGAGCTAGAATTCTGTTTGATTTTAACTTTTCCAATGGTGTGAGTCAGATGGACTTAGCCATTCTTAGCCGAGCTTGTCTACTCTGAATAGGACCTGTTAAACAATACACACTCTGACAGCCGGCGCCGCGGCTCAATAGGCTAATCCTCTGCCTTACAGCGCTGGCATACCGGGTTCTAGTCCCGGTCGGGGCGCCGGATTCTGTCCTGGTTGCCCCTCTTCCAGGCCAGCTCTCTGCTGTGGCCAGGGAGTGCAGTGGAGGATGGCCCAAGTGTGCTTGGGCCCTGCACCCCATGGGAGACCAGGATAAGTACCTGGCTCCTGCCATCGGATCAGCGCAGTGCACCGGCCGCAGCGGCCATTGGAGGGTGAACCAACGGCAAAGGAAGACCTTTCTCTCTGTCTCTCTCTCTCACTGTCCACTCTGCCTGT